TAATCCTTCCCATATTATGGGGCTGAATTTAATCTTAGAACTCAAATTGAGAGAAAATACGGCCAAGTTTATCTGGTGCAATACATTGCAAATGACCTTTGAAACCAAGTGTTTTAGCCTAGTTAAAATTATGGAACTGTCAGGAAGGAAATGTGTGAAAATGTAATCCTTTATCACTGACAATACTGCAACTTCCTCATCTTCACCACAAAGAAACAAACATAATTCAGCCTCCTGCAGTTCTGCATTGTTAGATGAGTCTGCATTTTTGGTTTAAAGTACCTTGGGCTTAACAGGCCTTGCTGCTGTGTTCATGTTCTTAACATGTTCAAAAACGACTACTTCCATGATTTTAGCAGTTCATATACACCTAATTTTTTAAAGTCTTTCTTTATCTTGAATAAGAATATAATTATACAACCCATACAACAACACTGTGGAAGGAGTTAGTAAATCAGACACGTTAATCAATTTTGAATTTTTCTTATGCCCTGTGAATAGACCCAAAGCCTAATAACATATTGAGCCAACTCAGTACACAGAATATACAAAATTATAAGATAAAAAAAATTGAAAAGAAATTGACATTTGCAGTAGGCAAGCTCCAAAGAAGGCAACCTAAGAAAATAAAGTATGAACACCGTAACCTGAAAAACAACAGTGTTAAAAGTGTTTTTTCTAAAACACTTGAATAGATTTTTTTTAAATCAAGTGTCAACTGACACTTGGCATTAAGGTAAACCCCCTTAATTTTTAAGAGGCAGATAGTAGCAAAAAAAATGTACTGTATATTAATATGGAAGAACAATATAGCCCTTTACAACAGAAAACAAAATGTGGACTAACGATTGATTACACTATTTACCAGTCCATATCCAATATAACCATAACAAAAAATAAAACAAAAACAGACATAAGCCAAAATATCAAACATAAAACATGGTACTCAAAGTGATTCAATGTTAACAAGTTTAAGATTGTCCAGCCTTAAATGAAGAAAAGCTAAGCACTTTTGCCTCTGATTTCACTGTACAAGGTGAAAAGAAACCAGATCAAAAGATGGGATGCATAGGCCAGACATGGAGTTCTCATGCCTGTATCCAACCCTGGGAGGCTAAGGCAGGAAAATCGCTTGAACCCAGGAGTTCAGAGACCAGCCTGGGCAACATAGCAAGACCCTGCTTCTATATAACATTTTAAAATTAGGGCCGGGCGCGGTGGCTCACACCTGTAATCCCAGCACTTTGGGAGGCCCAGGCAAGTGGATCACGAGTTCAGGAGATCGAGACCATCCTGGCCATCATGGTGAAATCCAACCTCTACTAAAAATACAAAAATTAGCCAGGCATGGTGGTGTGTGCCTGTAACCTCAGCTACTCCGGACGCTGACGCCAAGAGAATTGCTTGAACCTGGGAGGTGGAGGTTACAGTGAGCTGAGATCACGCCACTGTGCTCCCACCTGGGCGACAGAGCGAGACTCCATCTCAAAGAAAAAAAAAGAAAAAACTTAAAAAATTAGGCTGGGTACAGTGGCTCACACCTGTAATCCCAGCACTTTGGGAGGCCAAGGCGGACAGATCACTTGAGGCCAGGACTTCACAACCAGCCTGGCCAACATGGCAAAATCCAGTCTCTACTAAAAATACAAAAATTAGGTCGGGGCGGTGGTTCACACCTGTAATCCCAGCACTTTGGGAGGCCGAGGCGGGTGGACCACCTGAGGTTGGGAGTTCGAGACCAGCCTGACCAACATGGAAAAACTCTGTCTCTACTAAAAAATACAAAATTAGCCGGGCGTGGTGGCGCATGCCTGTAATCCCAGCTACTCAGGAAGCTGAGACGGGAGAATCGCTTGAACCCAGGGGGCGGAGGTTGCGGTGAGCTAAGATCTTGCCATAGCACTCCAGCCTAGGCAACAAGAGCGAAACTCCATCTCAAAAAAAAAAAAAAAATTAGCCGGGCGTGGTGGCGGGTGCCTGTAATCCCAGCTACTCGGAGGCTACGGCACAAGAATCATGCTTGAACCCATCTTGAATCACACTGTAATCCCAGCTACTAGGAGGCAGAGGTTGCAGTGAGCCAAGGCTGAGCTACCATATAATAGAGCAGGATTCTGTCTCAAAAAAAATATATTAAACAGACCTAGGCCTGGTGACATGTGCCTGTGGCCCCAGCTATTTGGGAGGCTGGGTTGGGAGGATCACTTGAGCCCAGAAGACTGCAGTAAGTTGTGTCCAGGCCACTGCACTCCAGACTAGGTGACAGAGCAAGACATCTTCTCCAAAAAATAAAATGAGATCTACAAATGCTACTAATTGGCAGATCTGTTATTTTCTTCCAGTCCAACTAATTCATTTATTGTCCCTACTCTCCAAATAATTTACGCTTAAATTAATATAGTCTGCAGATGTAACAACAGGGACTTTGCCTGTGTTTTTTACTGTTACTGCTTATTTGGATTTTTTGAGATAGTCTCATTCTGTCACCCAGGCTAGAGTGCAGTGGCATGATCTCGGCTCACTGCAACTTCTGCCTCCCAGGTTCAAGCGATTCTACTGCCTCAGCCTCCCAAATAGCTGGGATTACAGGCACCCGCCACCACGCCCGGCTAATTTTTGTATTTTTAGTCAAGATAGGGTTTTAGCCGGGCGCGG